AAAAAAAAAAAACATTTATGACAAAGCAAACCAACAGCCAACATCATACTCAGTGGTCAAAAATAGCTACGTTATTACTTTTTTTTTTCTAAATTTTTTCTATTTGAGACAGGGTCTCACTGTGCAGTTCAAGCCAGCCCTGAGCTCACCTAGTAGCCCAGGCTGGTCTGGAACTCACACCAATCTTCCTGCCTCAGCTTCCCGAGTGCTGGGATTACAGAAGTGCGCCACCACGCCCAGCAGCTATGTTATTATTAAGCTCAGTGGTAAATTTTTCTTCTATTATTCCCTTGTTGTTCTTTATTCTAATTTTCACTTAAGATTTTTGTTTGTAAGTAATATTTTTGTATACATTTATGTATTATATATGTATATTATAATTATATGTTTTCAATTTTAAGATTATCTCACTTTTGTAAACATTTAAATTCAAGCAACTACCTAGATTCAGTCCACCTATAGACTTTCTATTAATTTTCTTAGTAAAAAGATGAATAAAAGTGATTAGATCCGTTTGTTCTAGCAGTGATTGTCAGACTGGATCAAAAACCAGAATCCAACAGTCGGTTGCATCCTTCACATTACTTTCATCAATCTTTTTACTAATAAAATTAATAAAAAGTCCTCCAAAGGGACAGTCATGCATGTACCACCTGTGGTTCCAGCTGCCTGGCCGTGAGATCTACAAATCGAAGCCTCATCGTGAATGTGTTAAAACAATACTAAGATTCCATTCTCCACTAGAAAGAATGGTAATCATCAAAAAGTCAAAGAATAACAAATGCTGGCATGCATGGCTGTGGCAAAAAAGGAACCCTCCTACACCGTTAGGAATGTTAACTAATAGTCATTATTGCGTATCAGTATGGAGGTTTTGTTTTTTTTTTCCCCCCCGGGGTCCCAGGAATCGAACTTACGACCTCACGCTTGCCAGGCAGGCGCTGTGCCGCTGAGCTAAATCCCCAGCCCGCTCCCCCCTTTTTTGGAGGTTTTGTTAAGAACTAAAATGAGAAATTCCGTGTGGCCAGCTGTTCCTCTTCTAGGTATCAGTGCACCGGCAGACTATACTGTGCTGTTATTGGCAATTAGTCCAGGATGTGGAGGAAGGAGGGAAGAAAAGGATGGGGGAAAGAAAGAGGGGAAGTCAGAGCAAAGAAGAGGTAAATGTTGCTAGGTTTAGAAAAAGGTCAGGGCTGGGGATATAGCTCAGTGGTACAAGTGCCTGCCTGGCAAGCACAGGTCCTGAGTTTGATTCCCGGTACCAAAAAATAAAAAAGGTCATATTCTGCTGGCGGTATTTCTTATAGCTGGAATAAAGTATTAGTGTTGAGGGGTTTATGAGAATAGGTAAGAATATTTGTAGACCAGGAAGACCGAGCGGAGGCGTGTACTTAGAGACTGAGAGAAGCTGGGAGGCTTTCCGAACCCGTTAATATGCGCGTGTCCGTGTTGTTGGGCTCCTCCGCGCACTGTTCTGTGAAGGGCTACGCCGGCAGCGCCGGCCTCCTCCGGTCTCCCGCGCACGCGCGGACCGCTGCTGCATGCATGCTGCAGATAGGCTGCATGAAGGTGAGGAAGAGAGGGAAGGCTGCGGGTAGGTACAACGAGGGTGAGTGAAGGTAACAGAGCAGGGAAGAAAAAGAGCAGAGAGAAAAACGCTTAAAAAAAAGTAAAACTAAAAAGTAATATTGATAAAGAAGCAAGAGCAAAAGGAAAGGGAGGGGAGAACCCAGACCATGCACACGCGCGCGCACACACGCCCGCTGCAGCGCAGCGCGAGGGCTCGCGGCTCCGCGCGTCTGGAGAGGAGCGGCTGCGGGCACCGGCTCGCGGGGCGCTCGGCCTCGGACCCGCCGCTGGCTGCAGCCGCGCAGACCTGCCGGCCCCGAGACCCCGCCACGTCCACCGACGGGAGAAGTGAGACGCTTCGCCCTTCACCCCGGGCCCCGTGACTTCTGCCGGTGGCCTCCCGCCCCCGCTCTCCCGGGGCTCTGTCCGGAAGACGCCAGGAGCCCCGGCGACCCCCGGCCCGTCCCCCTGAGGCCGCGGGCCCCCCCGGCGAGCTCGGCCGGTCTGCAGTGTGC